AATTTAAAATTTGTTAAACACCATCCAAATTGAAACTAGAAATTGCGAAGGATATATAACAAGCGGGAAATTAATAAAAATAACGAAAGCCCACCGACAGCTCCCATTGGGAAGCAGATCCTATCATAACAATAGCGGAAGCCCTAGGGTGGATGGCTTTTTAATTATCGCTTACTTTTAAATTTGTGTTTAAAGTATTATTATTAGTTTTTTAATGCATAGTAATTAGAGATTAAATTGTTTAAAGTAGTATTTCCTCTTGTAATAATTTGATTTTATATAACAAACAAATGATACTTAAATATTAGTTTTTATCCTTTTAAATATAGTGTGTGTTGAATATTTTATTTATATTAAAAAAGTTTTAGTTGTTATTCATTTATTATATATACATAATCAAATTAATTAACATAAAATTAATAGGGTAGGACAACTAAAAAGTATGTACCAAAAGAAGTAACACCTAATTGTAAAATTATAAAATTGTGTCTAAAATCAAATTTGGTCATGTTAAGGGCTAAACTTTTTATCGACAACTTGAATATTAAATATCTTTTATGAAATTAATTAATTTTTTTAAAGAATTTTAACAAAATTAATAAAATAATATATATTTTTTCTCTATTTTATTAAAAATTAAACAATGTCTCACTATGATAACAGTGAAACAATGCATCAACTAATTCAAATAATTTTAAAACTTTACTCTTTTTATCCTAAAATATATATATTTACTAATTTGTCGATTTTTTTCTTTTTTGGTACTAACTTCCCAGTATCAGATAACTATATTAAGTCCCTACTAATTCAGAATCGAACCGTGTCAGATTCCATTAGAGAGGAAGCTCTCCCAGTATCTATTTTTTCATTTACAAGATTTGAATTTAAGATTTTATTTAAGGAGAACCGAACTATTTCTATTCGAACCAACAACTCATTGGTTTACTAATTTGTCTATTAAATTTATCTTTTTCTATCCCAAAGTACTAGACAATATGAAAGGGACAATATGTGATTTAATACTTAGAAATTGAAATTATTAATTAAATAAAGACTCTAACATTTTTGTAAATTAAAGTATTCATTAATCAAATTACTTGCTAAAATATAAGACAAAAATTACAAAATGAAATCCTAAAACAATTCAAAATTTTAAAGAGAGAAGATCTTTGAGTAAGAGTCTCGATTTCTAATTTACTCAATATATAAAAAATTTATTTATTTCTATTACAATATTTTTATCTTTTGTAAAATTTTTAATTAAGTCATAGTATTTTCTCTATATTTAAAATAGTGATTATAATAAAAATATTATGAATTGAACTAATTTTAAGTTGTTAATTATAAAAATTATAAAAAAAATAAGAATAACTTAAAATTTCATATGATAAATATAACATTTAAAAATTTTAAAATATATATGTTAAAATTAAAATTTTTCAAAAGTTAAGGGGCGGCCGCCCCCCTTACACCCTCCCTCCACTCTGGACATGTCTAATGTGAAATATATTATATTTTAAAATTTTTAATAATTAATAAATAATTATCTAATTATATTTATAAAAAAATATAAAATAAAACACATTTATTTCTAAGACATCAATAATGAATACTTGGGTCACAACTTATTGTATATTTATATACATTAAGTATTTTTTAATAATTTATGTGAAGTATTTACATTTAGTTAATCTGCAATAATGTAATGTAATATAATATTATATATCATACGTTACTTTTTAAGAGTATGCATGTGGGGCACAGTTCTTAAGGCATGAATCAATAAAGAATGAGAAAAAGTAGACAAGAGAAGGAGTGGTGGAAAATGGTTCAGTAACTGTTTCAATAATTGGCTAAAAATATCTTTAATTAAGTTTGAAATGACTATCATTTTCAAACGGAGCAGATATATTTTAAAAGTTTTGGAATAAATAATAGATATAAAAAAATTATAATTTTTGTAAAGAGTTATGTATAAGGCATTCATTAAAATTTATTTATAAATAAAATAGTTTCACAAATACCATAACTTCTTTTTAAGATTTTTAATTTCGCTACTTTTTTTCTACTTCCAAATTTTAGTATATTGACTTAAGCTATTAAAAGTTATTTTAATAGGTATTATACCTTAAAGATAATATTTCTTACATAAAAATAAAAGAACTATGCTAGGAGCACTCGCCATTTGCACTCTCCAACCAACACTTCCATTTTCATTGGGTCACGCTATGTTGGTTTCCGGAGAGGTAATCAATTTCATAGAAAATAAGCATACGTGGCCCAATAAAAAAGCATGTGTAGGCCGGAGAATGCAGGAGGCAAGTGCCCCTAGCACAGCTCAAAATAAATATTATTAAAAAATCTTAAAACTCCTTTACTCAAAACAATTAAAATTATTTTTGGTTTAGTTTTCAAGTGTTTTAATTTTTTGATATTATTTATATTTTATAAATTTAAATTTGTCTTTTAAATATTTATATTTATAATTTTTTTTAATATTAAAAAGATTAAAAAAACTCAAAAACTGCAAATTTTAACCTTTCATAAATTCTTTTTTTCTCATTTTTTACTTATTTTTATTATTTTTAAAAATAATTTTTAAATTTAAGTTCTAACAAAAATTTAAATTTACCATTCATAAATAATAATAAAAATAAAAATTTTTATAAACTAATCCAAACATACCCTATATTTACAAGCATATGCTTCTAAGACAACTAACATCACCCAATGAAACTTTTGACTCCGTGATTTGGAAAAAAAGATAGACGAGGAAGATGACGCTCAATTTTCAAGCTCCTACCTCAATGCCCGCATCAAGCATTAAGAAGAAAAACTTTTGTTCATAGAAAAGAAACAAAGTCGCATTATTTTGACCAAAAGATTTTTTTTTTAAAAAAAGAGAGTCCATAGCGTGAAGAACAAGATGAAAATGTCTTTGGGTTAAGAGATCTAAAATTTTAAATACCGATTTCACCCTTATTACTTTATTAGTCTTAGAAAGACTTTAAGAGCAAATTTTAGGGGTTAAAAGGGAAACAAAAATATTTGAAAAAGACCGACAGGCCAATGTGATGTGCTGAATTCATTCTAAGAAATACACTAGTTACCTCAAGTAATTTAATTTAATGATGAGTAAAGTGTTGGTCTCATGAGTATTATTAATTAATTAATTATTAAAAATAATTAATTTTAAATTTATTTAAATAATTTAAATTTTGTAATTATAAATAACTAATAGAAAACATTTAAAATATAAAAATCAACTAAGATGTGAGGTCTTAATACATCTAATTTCACCATAATTAGTTAATATAAATTCTAAATTAATATCTTCTTAAGACTAATTAATTGAGTATTATTATATATAATGGTGGATTCTTTTAATTAAATAACTAATTTTTTCAAGTACAGTTAATCATTTCATTGTTTATTAAATTAATTATATCTTTATATAATTTAAAATAAATTGATGAGCATTACATTTTTTTTTTTTTAACTATCACATGTAACACTAAGTATCTCTCAATTTTATAATTTAACATATGATTTATATCATTATTGATTTGATTAATGCAATTTTTCTTAATTTCATACATTAAATCACATAATTAATTAAAATATGATAAAACTTTTAAAATATTAAATTTTACAATAAAAAATAAATATATAAATAATTTTAATTAAAAGTATAAAAATTAAAAAAATTTATGTTAAATTGATTAGGGCCATTAGGTACAGCATAACCCTAGTTAAGTAACTTAGGCCATGCTAAAAAAATTTAATTTAGAATAATTATGATTAACTAATAATTAACAAGAATTAAATCTTGGGAATAGCAAAACTCAGTTTAGTGCAATTTGATTTATCTTCTCCTCGGCTGCCCTGTGAGATTGAAAGAATTACTCCCAGCCGCAACAATTCCTTCGGACCGAACTTACCCTCAGATCTTGGCCGCCAAGAGCCGCCCTAAACCTTCTTAAGCCTGACATTGAGTGAGTATTTATTTTTTTTGGAAAAGAAAAAAAAGAGAGAGGATATTTTACCATTTTTATTATTAAAATATTTAAAAATAATTACATAACAATGCAGTCTAGGGGGTTGAAGGGGCACAGGTCCCCCTAAACTTTTGTAAAAAATTTAGTTTGGTCCTTTACGTTTTATGTTTGTCCCTTTTATCTTTTCTCGTTTCGTATCATTTTAACAATTTTTTTAGTATTTATGTTGTTAAAGATTACTTTTATAATGATAAACAGAAAGATGGAGAAAGTGAAGATAAATATAAAATATGGGAAAAAGTAAAAATCAATTAAATAAAAATTATTTATTGTCATTTTTATAAAATACTTGTTTATTAATATCTTTACTCCTTGTTTCTTCGTTTTGTAGTATATATTATTTTACTTAATATATATTTATTTTTATCTTTTAATTAATGGTTTTAATATTACATTATCAACTACTATTAATTTACTGTTAAAAACTAACAAATATTATTTAATTTTTTTTTATTTTTTAAATTGACACACAAAGTCATCTTTTTTTAGTTAAAATTTTATTTTGCTCTCCCTAAAAATGTTTCTTGACTCCTTCAGTGTATTATATTTTACATATTTAATAATTATAATTAAATATCTTAATATTTTTAAAATCAAAATGTCATGAATTTATCCTTTTTCTATTTTTTATGAAATAGTGAGTATTTATAACTGTTTAAAAAACCTAATTGAGATAAAATTGGGATCCATGTTAAAATAATAATAATTTGACATGGACTTGTTAAAAATTGTTTGAGGGCTCAATACTGCAAGCTAAATTGCACGGAGGAAGAGACCCCCTCTCCATCCTTACCAATGATGGGTACGGGGATCCATGAGGATTTTTTATGAAGGATAAAAAATAATCTTTATTCCTATACTCGCAGAGAATGATAAGTTTCTGCGAGTATTCAAAGTTTCAACCAAATATTAATTATACCATAACAACTTAGAAAATCTAGTAGAGAACATTAGTAAAGAACTACTAAACTATCACCTGATCATTAATTAGAATTTAACTCAACATAGATCCACTCAAACTCCACTTATTTCTATATTCATCAAATAAAACTAGACAAATATTTATCATACTCTAACAACTTGAGAAAATATAGTAGAGAATATTAGGAAATAATCAATAAACTATCACCTGCAGGCTTCACTGGTAAGCTCTTGTGAATACATTCACCAATTGATACCTAAAAATGAATTAAATTAGAAATTACTAGTTAGTACGTCAATAGCTTGTGACTTGGTTGATTATTTCTTAAACAAATATCGATTGAATTGTGTACATTACACTATTATTTTGCTTTATTTATGAGAATTTGATCAAATCTTTTTAGCATGCAAATATTTGTTTGGTGAATAAAAATCCGAATCCAAAAAATATTAAAAAAAAAAACACCTTTTGTAACAAAAATATAAAGAACCTTTAGAAATCCTTACATAAATAAATTTATGCCCAATATATATATAAAGTGTTATGCATGTATGAAATTGCATAACACCTAACATAAAATTAGGAGGGCCACAATAATACAGACTATAACACAATAACGCAAAAGCCAAACAAATGAAAAAATAAAAAAAATAAACAATTCGTCAGATCTCTCTGAATAAAAGCAATTGCCCAGTTACCTCTTTCCTTTTCTTTACTCCACGCCAATCTACAAATTCCTAAACTCAATTATGTCGAGAGCTTGAGAGATGGGTAATAGTGGCTTTATGGTTATGTCGAAAGCTTGAGGAGAATCAGAGGCAAAGCTGCATGGGTCCCCCGGCTGAAGATAACTCAAGCAGTAGGTGCGCCATCATCGTGCGTGACGTAAGGAGGACCTGGACTTGGGGCCTTCGAGCTGGAGGCGAGTGGAGGCAGCTCTGGAAAGCAACCTGGAAATTTCAACAATCAGCTATTAGGGTTACTAAAAATGAATTGCGCAAATTGGGTTGGGCAATTGGGTTTGCGAAGACTGGAAAAAAATGAGCTGTGAAATTCAGATTGTATTGATATTGGGTGAATTAATTAGATGAGATAAGTAAAAGTTAATTGTTAATATATTTAAAAAAAATATATAAATAAAGTTATATTTTTTTTAATTTTACATGGATTTTCATGAGTTCCCCAAAAAAATTCTTGCAAAATTTCAGAAGAAAAAAACATCTGTATCCCCAATCCACAAAAAAAAAAAAAAATTTCTCAAAATTTCTATACCATAATGAGGATTTCCGTGAAACTCTACGGAATTACCTTTTAAATATCCCACACCTTCTCTGCATCAGCAAATGTAGTCTGTGTTAACACACCTGATCTTATACGCCACTTCGTAATGGTGTATATCACTTAAACTATGAGACTGGATTCAATCCCCCTTATCCCCAAAAATTGCCCTAGATCAAAAAAAAAAAAAAAAGAATATTGTACGCGTCGGATTTTTGGCCTAAATGCAATTTTCCTTAACAGTACTGATCCCTAACTTTTGGTTTTTGTCACTTCAATCTTCATATTTTTTATCTCTGCAGTTTGGTCCTAAAAGTTATGATTTCTTTCAATTAAGTTTTTTCCGTACAAATAATGAAAATTATATTAAATAAAGTAAAATCTCATAAAACTCATTTAGATTGTATTTGAGAACTTGAATTTGAATTTGATATGTGTATTTTAAATACATATAATTTAAATACATGTATTTAAAATATATGTAATTCAAATATATGTATTATAAATATTTAATAAAATACATAATTTAGATAAATTAAACTACTATTAAATTGAAATTGATTTGATGTTAATCCCTCTTATTGAGGTATTTTTACAAACACTTGATAGACAATATTAATAGGATTTTTACCACTGCTCACGACGGCTTGATATGAACTGTGCTACCCTTATCACCATTGCCCACTACCAGAAAATAAAAGACACAAGCTTGTTGTCATCGTGGGTGCTACAAGCTGCAAGAAGTCCTACCTTTCCCTTGGCTTGGCCGTTGTCTACTTTGCTTACTCTCAAGTCATCAACTCAAAAAATCCAAGTTTATGGAGGTCTCGATATCATCACCAATAAATTACCTTTCCATAAATCACTCGGCATCCCCCACCACTTTTGAATGTGGTTATTGGAGCTTCTTCAAAGAGCAGAGGAAGATGTAGAGAATGAACAGAGAATTTGAAATTTATTGTCAAATTCATAGGTATGAGAGGATATTTCAAATAAATGTATTTAAATTAAAATTCAAATATATTCATATTTTGTAAAAATAAACAATGTATTTGATTTTATAACATCAAATTCAAATACACTTCTCTCAAATTTACGTTCCCAGACATAACATTAAATATCAATAATATAAAGACAAAAATTTTACATTAACATATGAAAATTGAGCTCATTGTAATTATAATGTACGGGAGAAAGGGAGAAAGAAAGAGTAAAGGGTAAAAATGGCAAAAGAAAAAAGGAACTGTGAGAGGGAACGGGAAGGTTACTGTAGCAAATTGATTGAAAAGACCACACAATATGTATCAAAATTACAAAAATGCCACCACTCAAACACGACCTTTAGTTTAAACAGAGAACGGAATAAAGGAGAGGCAAAGAATGGCAGGAATGTTGACTCTAATTGAAATGTTGACTTTACCCACTTTAGTCTACTTTATATTTACAAATTTAGATTACTTTAGATTGTCCAGTCTTATAGCCTTCGATTTTCACTTCCGATGAAAACCCAGCCTTCTTATACTCTCATTTCCGTGGTTGATTTGTCAGGATCTAACTTCATTATAAGCAAGATAGGACAAGGTTTTGGTTGTAAGACTTGTTCAGGTAAAATTCAGATTTCTCTCTCATTCTTACTATATTTATACTTCATGTAATTTGTAGATTTTTAGCATGTTTTTGATATTTTTAACAAGTTATGCACACAAGAACGACTAAAATCATGGATATACACAAAAGTATGTGAGTGATACAAATGGGTAATGTTTGGTTGCTACCTATTTTGTGTAAACTATAGCTTTGTTTGTTACCATTGTGCTGTAGTGCAGGTATAGAATTTTTTTGTCTTTTACTCTTGTAAAAATATGTAAAATATTAATTACAATAATTAAAAATTAAAAATTTACATCTTCGGATAAGATATTGCCATCCAAAGCACTGGAAGCGAAACCTATATAAGTACTTCAAGAGTTGGAAAATTTTAAAGGGTTTGGTGAGAGTGGAAAATTTGTGGTATTGTCGAGGGTAATGTAGTAAAAAAACTTTGTTTTAATACCAAAAAATCTAGTAGAATTTATTTTTAATTTGAAGTTATTCCAATTTTAAAAATACTAAACCGACTCATTAATTTATACTATTATATTACGTAGAATTTAACTAATTCTCGGACTCGAAGGTATAATGATTCCCTCAGGGTGGAAAAGTGAAAACAGGCCTGATTTCTTGCTATATCTTTTCCTAATTTAAATTTTTTATTTTCAATTTATTTGTAAAACCCATTATTTAGGATTTTAGATTTTAAGATATTACTTTAGATTAATAAGATGTTATGTTTTAAGATTTAAACTTGGGTTTTATGATTTCAAAATTTATACTTAACAAGTCAGCAAGACGCATTTCATGGGTCATAGTTAATAATCTTAGTCAACATTGTATTTGTAATTTACACAATAAATTATTGAAGGTTAATAATAATAACTAGATAATACCTGTGTTAGGCACGTGAACTTTACAAAAAAAAAAAAATTCATATTTTTAATTTTTATAGACATTATTTTATGTAAAATATTATTTGATCTCAAAAATTAATTATAATAAAGAAAAAACAAATGTTATATGCATCTTTATAGTTCTCTTAATATATGCAATTTTTTTTTAATAGAAGATGATTAAAGAACCATATGTTTCTGCATAAGCTTATTTCTTGCTTTAATCTAAAGGGTCATACACACCTTCATTCAATTAAAAGGATATATAATATCAAAAAATTGGCTTTATACAATTAAAATGTATCCATAATATCAAAAATTAGGAAAAGAAATAATTTAAGCATTTAAAATGAAAATAAGAAATATCAACATCTTTAGAAGTGAAAAGTTAATAGATGAGTTCAAACCCTTCCCCTTATTCTAAAAATTGTAATGTTCAAAAAAATTTATATTACAAAAAAGAGAGTACATTATAGGGTTTGAGAAAGTGAACCCCACCCTGAGTTTATCGGCAGACAAAATGTAAGTTACACCCTGAAAAAAAAAAAAAAAAACCCAACCCACAACAAAAGTGAAAGAAAGGGACGTCCCATCTTGACAAGTTGATTAGCACACATAATGTTCTCTTTAACAATGTGTTGCAGCTTAGCTTGAGTGAAATGACTCACAAGTTCTCTGCTATCCAAGATCAAAGTACTTAATGAATGGGAATCAGAAACATTGGCAAATAGTAATAGAATGGCATAGAAAAGGAGTCACTCAATGATAATCTTTGAAAACAACCTAGCAACAGCAAGTTAGAGGCCATCCTATATGGTCTAATGCTCAACACTTAAGCTATTAATAATGCCTATATGCCTGGCATACCCCATAATCCAATTGCCATTAGGATCCCTAAAGATCCCTCCCGCAACAGCAGGTTTAGGTATGCCTAAAGCAGCATCATCAATATTAAGTTTAACAGAATTGGGAAGAGGTTTATCCCAACAAAACACAACATGTTTGCCCATTAGATGCCTTAAAACTGAACAAGAAGAACCGACCAAAATTCAACAGCTTTATCAATAATAAGAGGAAACCATTTAGAATCTTGAAAATCAGAATCTCTACAACTCGTCAATCCTCTATAACCACCAAACTCCCCAAATAGCAAACAAAAACAAAGTAGCCCAAGAAATTTTGAAAATGCAAGAATCATCCATGCAATTAGAGCTTGCTCTTAACCAACCAATAAAAGAAACAATAGAATGCTTAGATAATCACACCAGGGATGACTTTGTTCTAAATGTTGAGTGAGTATGAACACCTTGATTGTTAAAATGGAGAGTTTTTCAAGTCATAAAGCAGGAAATTTCTTTGGTATAGAAGTAAAGTTTCTTAAATAATTAAGGAGCTTCTTCCAATTAAAATCTCAAACTGAAACCTAGCTACCGCACATTAAGGAGTGCAAGCACTAAATTGGAATTGATTTAAAAATTGTTAAAAATCTAACAAAATAAATCCAGACTATTTAGATGTTACACAAATAAGAAAAAAAATATTATTCTAAGAGGAAGCAAGACCAAAAAACTAAAAGTAGTTATTCAATAACCAAGCATAATATCAATTAGTATAAAACTCATAAAGTTGCATAAGAGCAACCTATGGAATTGGTTCATTAATTAAGACTCCAAAGTGCTATAGATTGCTAATAAGTAGATAGATATATAATCAAAAATAAGAAGGAACATAGAAGGGAAGAAACCTTTGAGTGAAGTTTTTTCAAGATATTTTGAACCCATTTTGCTGGAAAAATGTCCATAATTAGAAGAAATCTTTTTTGACCTTTCAATCATGTTATTTGTATCACCTTTAATTTCCTTAGCTGTATTAAAAAAAAAATGGAAATGGAATAACTTTATCAGGCCTAAGTATTCCATAATATTTTACCACCCCTGCCCCCAGAAATAAAAAGAAAAAAAAGGAGGGCTTCATGTGCTGCCTTTGGATTCAAGGAGTAAGAGCTTTTCACTGCAATGAATTTTAGAACAAATTACATGCATTCAAACGGTAAGAGTGAAGCCCTAAAAGTTATTACATGAAGTTAGTAATATCTAACCAACTCTTAAAGAAAAAGTTGAACACGCTTGGAATGAAAGTTTCATGTAGGAGAATTACTTAACACAATTGAAGGCATCAATCAATATATTTTGAAAATTCAACAAGGCGGACACACACACACATGTATACACCCACATAATGAGAATATCTATACACACACACACAACATTAACAAAAAATAATAATGAGAATCAAAGTAAGAATTTGCTTACACAAAATAATCTACGCTTCTCTGGACACACATTGGACCAAAGAGTAAATGGTAGCAACAAGAGGCATCAGCTCACCTAACTCCATATTTGAAAACATCAAGAATCATCATCCAGGAAGAGGTGGAGATCAGGCACCAACATAAACTTGTGTGTCCTTGGCAATTCCTCATTCTTTCTTTATCAAACTATATCATAAATATAAGAAACTAATCAAATTGAGGAGAAATAAAAATAAGTACAGAATTTGGGGGGAGAAAAATTGTCATAGACATTACATCTTTAAAAGGCTTCGTGCTTAACAAAAATCAATCTCCTCTATAAAATCTTCCCATCTTGTAAGAAAAAAACAATAGAACCCCTAAGCTAAGCACAAAGAAACCCTTTTTTGGACCTGTAAATATGCACTATTTTGCCATGGTTTTCAAGGAGTCCTAGTTCATTAAGAATGATGGATACCTTTTCTAGGTCAGATATGTCAAACTAGACCTGGAAATATGCCCTGTTTTGGACCAACTTCAATATGCATAATGCAGAAAATGTGGAAAGAAAAATACATTATACAAAAGCTGATTTGTAGTTGGTTTTCAGTAGCTCCTAGAGGAGCACAATGGGTTAAAAAAGAAACACTAAGCTCTTTTCAAGAGGGGCAGATTACATTGCAGTAGTTTTCACTTGGACAAAACAATAAGATTGTGGAAATAAACATCCTAAGCTCTTTTCAATTAAAGACTTTAAGATCATTATATTGTGCGACCCAAAATTTATTTTAACTTAAAATTAAATATGATGTTACATTGAAATCAACCATTGTAGAAAATATAATTAGGAATCGCTAACAGGCCCCACCTCATATCATATTCCTAGAATTTTACCTCCACTGATCTAAGCGTCAATGATATTCTAGTTAATAAGGACTTATTTGCTACACTTTTCTATATCATTCAATGACAGCCATCACAAAGAAATGAGAACATTCAGATATATGTTTCAGATTTTCTTTCTTTTTCCTACACTAATATCAATATGCATAACACAAAAAATAGGGCAACAAAAATACATACACCATACAAAAGCTGAATTGGTAATTATGATCCTAAGTTCATACACTATGAAATTCAAGGGTCCAAATCATGATCCTAAGTACATCAAATGAATTTCAAATATCCTCAAAAACAAAATCAAATCAAGTCTTATTATATGTATAGATTTCTAAAGCTAACATGTCCACAAATTTAACTATTAATCATCAGTAAAAGTCAGTAAAAGGGTATAACATTAGATGTAGAATTATACCTCTGATATAGTCTATCAAAATTGATGGGCAGTAGTTCTAAAGAGGTGAGATGAATCCTATAAAGCTTATATGTGAAAGAGACCTCTGTTATTAAAGAGAACAAAAAAACAACCATTAATTTGGAGATGGAATAAGTTTTTTCTAGGTCGCAGCACAAACTTGTGATCAAGATATGCTATGAAAATCATACACATATTGATCACATTTATCAATGCATGTTAGAGAAAAAAAACCCCACTGAGTCTTTTGTACAACTTTTGTAAAGTTTTAAGAACAATCTTCTTCTGGTAGGTTAACCAAAATTTCTTTCTAGGTTACATTACAAAGTCATAATTAAATCCAGGACGTTATGAACATACACTATAAAATAAAATCCAAAGAAGAACATACCTGAACTTGCTGCTGAAGTGATTTAAGGAACTCAATGGATTCGTCCAGCATCAAAACCTTGTATGACTGAAAGGAGCAAAATACCTAATCTAGAAAATGAATCCTTAGTGCTAGTTAATAACAAAAAGACAGAAAGAAATTAATGGACGGAGAAATAATTTACTGTTTCAATCAATTCCTTCATATACAGATGAACAAGTATCATTTTAACATTGAAAAGAAGCATCAACAAAAAGTTTGACTAATTTTAAACCTAAAATTGAAATTCACATGGAGCTAAGTTGAAATATGCTCAAAGAAACACTGAGGCAAAGCTTTAAGAGAATTGCCCAACTACAATTCAGTCAACAAAACAAAATTTTTTAGATAAAATTGGTGTAATAAAACGTATCTCACAATGGCCAACAAATCTTTTCAACCTAGCATGTAGTTAAGTCAGGCATTGAGAGACTCCAATAGAATTTTTGAAATGGAAGCAGTGGAAAACAAAAAGGAGGGACTGTAAATGAAAAAAAATATAATTAATTTCTTATTAGTCTTTAAAAGATATTTCTTTGCCTTTAGTTATACAATTATTTATTGCACATGCTCCATGTTATGCAACAAAATGAAAGGCAAAACTTGTTATTTTCTCATATTTCTCTCTTTTAAAAAAAGAAGAAGAAGAAGAAGAAGAAAACTTATTACCATTCATTTAGATAGGTAAAGGTGGTTTTGGCTTCTAATTTTTAATAAAGATCGTGGATGTTACCTTTTTTATTTTTTTGAAAATGGCAATCGTTTTCCATGCAATTTTTTTAAAAAAAAATTTTGAAAATGGCAATCATTTTCCATTGCATGAAAGCTCAATATAAAGCTCAATCTTTATATCTACACGAGGGCATAGCAAGGGATAGTATTACACTAAAAAAAAATCCCGTCTATGCTACATTTGTAATATTCCTGTGTGCATACTGCATACTACTGCTCTTATTAAGAAAGAGCCTTGAATTCCCTTCCTAACACAAATAGTAAATTATTGGGGCAAGACTACCTCCCTTTACAATGCTTCTGCACCCATCTCCAATCCCTATGGCACACTTTTGGACCCTTGACAATGTTAAGGCTTGCAAGCATGTCTTCTCATACACACTTTGAAAACTGACAGCCCAAAAAACAAATACTTGGAGTTCTCCTCCTCTATTCCACAAAAAGAACATTAAACATCTAAAAGAGCACCTTCAGAAGCTAGCAAGACCTTGAAACATAATGCAGCTATAGTGTAGAAAATAGCTACTGGACCAAATAACAATACCATGCCAGCTCACGTGTGGAGGTTTGATCCAAAAAAAATTGTAACAGCTAGTAATTAAAAACACTCTTGATACATCAGAAAGCCAAATAACCTTATCCTCCTTTTCTGTAGAATTTGTTGCCGAATTAATTGAGTGATAACTAGATATCTTCTAGCAAAACTATCAGGTATATGCGAGCTATTACCAATCCACCACTCAGCCACTCGAGTCATGTCCCCAATCTACTAACTCATCAATAAAAGATGCCGAGGATACAACTTCATTCTCTTTGAATGTAGAAAAGCCAACAATTATTTAACCAAATTTATATAGAGAATGTTTAACGCAAAAGTACCTAATTTCCTCTAATCTAACTTTTATATATTTCATTGACAGATTGCTCAAACCTAATCTCAATCAAGTAAGAAAACTCTATTCTTCAAAACTAAATCAGTGACAACTATTAACTTAAAGTTAGGATAACATTTGAAGTTGGATTCAAGAATTACCTTCTGATGGTACCATCTTTAAGAACTGGGTTTTTGATAACAAATATCTCACTGACCACACTACTTTACAAAATTTCAAAATCATAACTTTGGTAACAACATGAAGTAACCAATGTGAAAGAGCAAAAGAATATGATAAAACTTTTTTTTTTTCTCTAGAACTGCCAAGGTTTATTAACATAATGGTCCGAATCCCAGACTTTAATGTTCATACAAATTTCAATAGGTATTCCAAGAGTTTAAATCTCTACTATATAAATAATATTCCTAAGTTGCTATCAACCATCATAAGGCTTAATGACTCAATTTAAAATCAATTAATTTCCAAATCAGAAGAAATGGTTCTTTTGCTCCCCTAGGTCGTATCTCTGGTTCCTCCCAAGCCAGACAAACCATATACAGTGGCACTGACACCGATGGTACTTTCACCAGTTTTAGTTTCCAAGATATAACTGTACTGTCTTGCTTTCAGACTTTATTTATGCCAATATAGCAGAAGATAGACCTTTTTTTGATCATAACCTTAGTCATGACATTATCTTTATTAGCCCCATGGTAATATAAACCTATTGCTCGATAATCAAAAAACTTCAATTTTAACTTAGGCAAATGAAACAATTTCTTTACTTAGGACTTGTTGGTCCAAGTGAAAGGGGCTCGGTTCTCCTTAAGTAAGGTCTTGAATTTGAGTTTTATGAATGGAGAAACAGGCGCTAGAAGTGCTTTCCCCCTTATGGGATCCGACGTGGCTTGACTCCAGATTAATTAAGGCCCAATGTGGTTTCTTGATAACGAGGGGTTAGTACAAAAAAAAATGAAACAATTTTTTAATAAAAATTCAAAAATGAAAGAGTTTCATGAATAAGTGGCCTTTAATCAGCAAGAAAAAATATAGTTAAATAAAATAAGCAATTGACTTATATAAATACAAATAGAAGAATAAGAAAGAATATTAATTGATAAGTGCTGAAAAAATAAGGTAAGACTCAGCAAAAACAAAATCTAACTTTTCAAAATTGTTATAATGATGGATCTCTTAAATCTAAGATAAAAATAGAATAAATTGTATACACACCTCAAAATAAGGAAAATTGGAAAATCAAAAGAGCAACCTGTAAAAAATAAAAAAAATGAAAAATAAAAAATAAAACTTGGGCTAAAAAAGAAGAATCAGAGAAATATGATACAAAGAACATAGCTTGTCAAGTTCCCCTTTCCATGTCTAACGGAAATATCTGATCACTTTAGCAAATTTTCTTACATGCAACTAATCAGTTAAACAAATTAGAATATTGCAACATTAATGACTTATCATTTTCACAATTTTGCTTGGTGTATCATACTCCAAGGAAGGAAAATAGAGAAGAACTAAATTGTTATGAAAAAAAAAAGAATAGAAAACAGTTCCTATCAGCAACTAGATTATGGAAAGTATTTGAGAAATTAAAATCTTTACCTAAAGAAATGAAATTTAATACCTGTCAATTATCTTATGATATCATCTCCCAGCTTTATGAAAAACATGTAACTACCTGCACAAAAAAATTCATTAAAATAAATTAATTAGTTTCTTTTGATGAAATTAATCAAACATATGTAAGATATGAAATATATGTTAGAAGTCACCAAAAAGATTTTATTTAAACAGATACCCTAGTATGGCTTCATTAACTAGTTTGAGAATTCCTCTGTAAGAAACATATCAGATGAAATCTAATGTAATAAAATGCAAGCTCCAGACGTTAAGAAGAAATCTCAAAACACTGCAAAAAGAATAAACATTTCCACATAAAAGCCTAAACTGAAAGCCAACACA